AACACCTCCAGGGATGGATGGGGCATCACAGCCTCTCTGGGCAGCTGTTCCAGCACCTCACCACTCTCTCTCTAAATAACTTCCCCCTGACATCCAACCTCAATCTTCCCTCCCTCAAACTTCAAACCATTTCCCCTTGTCCTGCTGTTATCTCCCCTTTCAAAGAGTTGATTCCCCTCCTGTTTGTAGGCTCCATTTAGATACTGAAAGACTGCACTGAGGTCACCCTCCAGCCTTCTTTTCTCCAGGCTGAACAAGCCCAGCTCCCTCAGCCTGCCTAAGGTCCACCCTTAGGAAGCTTTACCCATTTCCCCACTGGGCACAGCAACACAGAAGCAGAACAGGCACAAGGCCTTATCACAGCAGCAGCCTGATGTCAAATCATATGCAAACAGTTGATTTCCCCATGCTAACGTTATGTACATTTTATGCTTCACAAGCAGTATGGGATGCATTCCTAGTGCATGACTGCTGTGCACTCAGGCACTGTAGCCAAAAGCCACACTTCTGGCTTAAGCTGGAGCAGTTACAAAGATTTCATTTCTCCACATTGCTCTGCATCTAAGTAGCCTCAAACAACAGCTACTTAGGAATTGTGTGGTGCTTTGCATAGCGGGAATTGATGCTGCTTGCACTACTCCAGCAACCAACAGCCACAGCTCAGCACACACAGCACAGTAGCTGCCACCACATTTTCTCACCCTGAGCTTGGGCTGGAATTTATTTGGGGGCTTGACTTTTCCTCCATTATGCAGAGACTCCAAGTCACTCAGCACCAGGAGGATGATGCAGCTGCAGCCGATGCCCCAGCACAGCCAGCTCCCTCCTGCTGCTCTGGCTTTTTCCCAAAGGACTCAGATCCTGGTAAACAGTCAGAGCCCCATATGGTGATTTTGAGCAGCCCAGCTCAGGTATCCTCTACATTCATTGCCAGATGCACCAGTTTGCCACCATTTCCCACAGTTACAATACATACCACCATATACAGTCCTGTTTGCTGTAGAAGAGCTCCTCCAGAAAGTCTCTCTTGTGCTGTAAGTGCTGGATAACTGTGTTGCTTGCTGAAGTGAAAAGACAATTAAAAAAAATCAACTCATTGAGTACCATCACTGCATTTGTAGAGGAGGAAAGCACACCTTCCAAAAAGGTTCCTCCCCACCCCTGGGTGCTGGTGGGGTTGCAGTGAACTGCACTCATAACACCATTGTTAGCCAGGCTTAGCAACACCAGTGTCAGCTAAAGCATTCTTATCACCAGGATTATTCCACTTCAGTTTTGTGCAGCCTGAGAGATCACACAGCATCCTTGGTGCTGTGCCACCCCAAAGGAGAGCCCAGTCCCTGCTGGAGATGGAACAATGCTTCCCAGCAACTTCAAGAACATTGCTTTTACCCACATCCTGCAGCAGTACCTCAGTTAACAGCTGCACATTGCTTTCAGGTGTAAGCACCAAGCATCAAACCCTGTCTCATATAACTTGCATCAAACCTAAAACACAAAGCACCTCTTCATTAGAGGCTGGTTATGTTGTTGTAGCCGAGTTTGGAAGAGGTTCTTAACACTTGATCAGATAGCTTGGAGCAGCCTGCTAAGGTGGCACTTGATTTTTACAGCACCCAAAGGGAAGTACCAACACTACCAATACAAACTGCTTTTTTTATTTCAGAGACACCAGGACCTGGAGCATATGATGTAGACATGGGCTATCAAGCTTGCTTACCCAGCTCCCCCAGCATCACCATCCAAGGAGTCAGGAGGCCAAAGAGACACGAAACCGGGCCCTTTGCAACGCTCTGAGCCTGACTACAGAATTCCACCCCTAAATCAGGACTTGCTCCCCTTCAGTAATGAAAGACGCACAGGAGTTCACCTCAGTCTGAGTTGTCTGTATTTTTTCTAGTCACCAGAAAACCCCCATCTCCTCTGACTGAAGGCATGAGAAAAGCCTGAGCAAAGAACCTATACCAGAGAAACCCACACTGCCACCTAAGCCAGATGTTCCCACAGCTGGGCAAACAGGGCCAAGCTCCATCCCATCAGGTACAAATGCTGCAGACTTGAGGACAGACCTGGACATACAGCTCTATCCAGCATTTTATTTCTCTCAGTCCCATCAGAGCACATGCAGCTCCTCCCAGAGGCAGGCAGCCCAGTTATTTCCAAGCCTTGGCAGCTGCTGGGACACCACAGCAGCCCCGGCTGTACTGACCTGGGGAAGCTGACCTCCTACAGAAGCACTTACCCCAGTGAAGGGCAGTCAGAGCCGTGTGCACATCTGGCATTGACAAGAGCTCACAGAAAGCTCTCCACAGAAGTCAGAGGTGTTTGCCCTCTGCACATGGGACATGCACATACTTCTCTAAGCTCTGCATCACTGCAAGCAATCATCATGAGAATCCATCTTTAACATCTGGATAGGAACCATCACCTTGGTACTTCTGCACAGGGCAGGCAGAGCCCACTTACACAGAACTGGACAAGGACAAAAATATAAATCAGTGACACTGCTTACAGACAGCCTGGTGTTTTATTAAGTATTTAAGGTGTTACAGAAGATGTAAGAACCTTCATATGGAAACTCCTTTTCCACACTTAGCTCTGTTGAGAGAAAAAAAATACAGCTCATTAATAGAGAGCATTAGTAGAGCTCATTAGTAGAGAGTAAATAGTTTAATTACAGCAGTTTCAGTTAGAGATGGATACTTACAGCTGGGCACTCAATTGCACCACTATTGATGTCATCAATGATATCATGTGGGTGCCTGCCATCAATGCTGCAGCCCACAGACTGAGCAGTTCCAAGAATCTCCTTAATTGTCCCTGCAGTTGGAAAACATAGCTTTAGCACAGAAAAAAAACGGAAGAACCATTACATAGCCCAATTCCTAAATGCCTCAGCCCTCCCATGCCAGCTACCTGGTGGTCTGCAGGCTGCAGCCACCTGGTTTAGAAGGGGCAGCACACAACCTAAGCCAGCTAGAGGGTACTGCTCACAGAAAGCTCCAGAAAGCACTGTGTCTGCTACACACTCAGTGCCTAGGCTGCTACTCAGCCCCATATTATGACAGTAGGTACTACAGGCAGGTCAGGATCCCTGAGTTAAGCCCTACCATGCACTCAGACCTTGCAGCTGGCACTGCCAGGCAGTGCGATGCTGGCTCCTGGCAGCACCAGGTTGTTCGTGTGTTGCTACAGCCACCTGCTCAGTGTCAGCACATACAAGCTGTAGGAACTTCACCACACCAGTTATTAGATTGTCCCAAGGATCAGCCAAGAGCCTGAGCCACTCAGATCACACAGCAAGACTCAGTCCCACCCCTTAAGGTCAGTACTTACCAGACAGCTCTCGAGCCAGAGACCTGTGCCTCATCTGCCGAGCGATGTTCACTATCTCATCAAAGCTGACACTGCCACTGTGCTTTACTGTGAAGCAAAACAACAGCACCAGTAAGCTCACTGAAGCACAGTGCACTTCCAGCTTCCCATGCTCCAACAGAAAAATGCCACTCCTGGCACTCAGATCACAGAGAGCAGTGAGGTTACAGCTACACTGGGGCTGTGATCAGTGCTGCTGTTCCCAGCCTTCGGCACAGAGCTACCCATAAGAAAAAGAATAACTCTGTTTCCTAGGTTGGCATTTTCTCTCAGCTCACCTCTGGACTATACAAGTCACTGCATTACAAGACAGGTACAGTGGCGGGTGGCTGTTCTGCTCACTTTGAATATGTATGCACTGTCTGTGTGCTACACTTCAGGAAATCCTGCTGCCCCAGAAGCCCCCTGCCAGTTTATGCTAAGCAGCCATGAGGTACATGTTCTTTTTCAGTACTAAATTACATTGAGAACCAAAGGTGGAACAACACTTACTGTTTTTCTGCTTCTTCCTGTCACGGGGGGGCTCCTTCAGAGCTTTGATAATCAGAGCAGAGGCAGAAGGAACCACTTCTATCTAAATAAGAAGAGATTCATTCTTTTCCACAGCACCCAAGCATGCAGATAACACAAAGCCTGGACTTAGTTTTCTGTTCCCCATTACATGCCTCCTCCTGAAGCACAGGACTTTGTTCCCAGCCTTTCGGCACAGGACTCCCCACAGCCAGAAGAGCACTGCTTCCTGGGCTGGGGCTGCTCTCAGCTCACCACTGGAATATACTAGCCACTGAATTCAAGGCAGGTATAGTGGCAGGTGGCTGCAGACCGGCTCCGAAGGGCTTCATTCAGACCCCCATGCCCCCTTGTTTTCCAGCCCCACACTTCACACACACTGCACTCAGAAGAATCGGGCACTTCCTATCCAGGTCTTCCCAGAAGACCCCACACCAAGTGTGGCACTCATTTTATCCACCTCGGAAGGATGAAGGGCTGAGTCGACCCTGCCGGGATCGGCTGCTGTGGTTGCGGCAAGCAGCGCCTGCTGCGCCCAGTGCTTGCACCACAGCGCGATCCCTCGTGGCGTTCAGTACCTGCGCTTGCCTGTTCTGGATGGTGAGCTTCACCGTGATCCTCAGCCCCTTCCAGTCCCCCGTAGCCTTGGCGATGTCATCACCGACCTTTTTGGGAGACTGAGAACAACCCACGTATTACAATCAGAAAAACCTCGCATGAATGAAGGCAAAGAGCCACGCACCGCACCGGGACCGGCCCTGCACCCCCCGCCCGACCCCGCAGCCCCACGTACCAACCCGAGCGGTCCGATCTTGGGGGCCAGGGCGGAAGTGGCGCCGACCTCCCCGCCGGTGCAGCGCAGATACACTACGGACACAGCAACGCTCAGTCAGCTCCACACCGCCATCCCCGCTCCCCCAGCGCCCCGCCGTCCCCCCAGCCCAACACGTACCGACTTTCACCTCGGTCGGATCGAACTTGGGCGGCATGGCGGCGGCGGGCGGCGCGGATGACGGCGGATCCTAAAAACCACGGCCTAGCCGGTGGTGGAAAGGCAGTAGGCGGTGCGCGGGAAATATATATTGGCACCGAGATCTCGCGAGAGCTTGGGATCCGCCCCTTTCTCCCTCGCTCACTGGGAACTCTATGGTGTGGGAGGGGGGCGCTCTGGCCTTTCGTGTCTGTGATACGGAGGCCCCGGGACAGGGCGTCATGGCAGCGGGCTGCGGTGAGCGCGGCCGGGTAGAGGAGGGGGCTGGGCGGCGCGGAGCCGGAAGGGGATTTGCTGCCGCTTCTGTCGCGTTGGGGCCGGCGGCGGTGCTGAGGCTGCCGGCCTCTGTGGTGGCTGACAGGAGGGGCGGGGGGTCTCGTTGAGCGGCAGCTGGGCGCGTTGCTGTGGGTGCTCCTCAGTCAGCTGAGCACCGCAGGGTCTGCGGGGTCCGCCGGGATGCGGGGTCCGCCGGGATGCAGGTTTGCAGGTGCCCGGCCCGCTGCAGATGGCTCCTGATCGTTTCTCCTCGCAGCCCTGACACGTTTCTTTCTCTGTTCAGCCGCCTGTCCTTCAGCTTTTGCAGTTTTGGGGTGAAAACTGAACTGTCTGCTGTCCACACGACTGATGGAAGGTACGTGGCCGTAACAGAGATAGCTAAGAAGGGATAAAGCGGTGCTTAAGGTCATCAGTGTTATCATTGCGTTGCTGCAAGCATCCTTCTCTTGTTTCTTATCTTTTAAGTCCCCTTTTACTCCTGTCTGTGATGTTTGACCTGTGTTCGAGGCTCCTTGTTATGTGTTACTGAATTTCTTAACTAATTCCTGATCATGAATTTCCCTTCTTGCTTCACCGTCTGCATTTTCACTCTGGCCTCTCCTCCTGGCTCGCCTTGGCTGGTGAGTGATGACTCCGTGGTGAGCAGTGGGTGTTACACAGAGGGAGAGCAGAGTGGGCCACGGTGAGCATTTCTCAGGGTCGTGGAATCTCCCAAGTTGGAAGGGACCCACAAGGACTTGCCCACGTCCTGATTTGGGTATTTAAGTCTGAACTTATTGAAATTTCTCAGCAGGGAGGTTATTTTGGCTCTGTGGGCAGTAATTTGGTGTTTGGAAAATAGGTTGGTTTTCTAAACGTATTTAAAACCTAACTTTAAGTTAATAGGTCTTTAAGCAGAATCCCTTCGCCTCACTAGGTGACTAAAATAGGAAAAGCATTGCTGTGCAGCAGTTTCTGTCTGAAATGCCAGTGAACCAAGTGTTTGCTTACTTCAAGATAATCCCTGCCCTAAAATTCGAGGCCATGACCTGTTACAGTGGAGCTGAGAAGCAAAGCAAGCTGAGGTTGGATACCCTGACCCTGAGTCTATCTGGTGTCCCTGAAAGCAGCTGACACGGGCTGTGTGACTGCCAGGGTGCAGCAATTGCAAAGTCCCCTTCCAAGTCCTCTGTGTTCTGATCTGCATCGGTCCTGCCTGTTTCTCTTGCTCTGCAAGATGGAGGCTCTCAAAATTAGGAATTGTCTCATTTCCAGCCTATATTTACTCTGTAGGATTTTGCAGTTGCTCATTATGGTGCTAGAGTTAATTGTTTTTGAGTTTGAGTAGTTTGGTTTTGTCCCAGTGCCTGCTTTCTTGGCACCGCCTTCTTAATTCCTGTCCTGGATTGGATCCTGTGTTTTCCTGTCTGTACGTGTTTCAGCTGGCCTTCTTGCATCCTGCACAGGAATGACAGGACAGTCTGCCTGTCTCAGAAGTTCCACAGTGCTTTCAAGACTCACGTTGACATTTCGGTTGCAGAGGTGTGATGGGCTCGGTGTGATCAAGCCAAAGGAAGGCCTAATCGAAGACAATTGTTGCAGCAGTGATTTTTTTTTTCTTTTTTTTTTTTTTGTTTTTCTTATTAGAGCACAGTTCTGTAGTCCAGGTTCCACACACTCCAAGAGCCATCTGCCTTTATTTATGCTGATAGTTTGTACCACTCAGACGGAGCTGTAGTCACAACTCAAGATGCCACTCTTCTTCCGTAAGAAGAAACCCAGTGAAGATGCTCGGAAGCGCCTTGAATACCAAATGTGCCTGGTAAGCAGTGCTGATGTCACTTCTGTTCTCTGTACCTAGTCCCAGGCACCTTGTTTCTGATCTCATCCAAGTTAGCAGGCTGCCTTTCCAACGTATGTCAGAGAATTATCACAGAATCACAGAATCACAGAATCACCCGGGTTGGAAGGGACCTCAAGGATCATGTAGTTCCAACCCCCCTGCCCAGCAGGGCCACCAAACATACACATTCAGATCAGGTTGCCCAGGACCCCGTCCAACCTGGCCTTGAACACGGCCAAGGACGGGGCATCCACAACCTCCCTGGGCAGCCCGTTCCAGGGCCTAACTACTCTCCTTGTGAAGAACTTCCCCCTAACATCCAACCTCAATCTTCCCTCCTTCAACTTGGATCCATGTTTGGATCCAGAATTCCTGCTTTCCTGATCTCTTCTTGCCTTTCCCTCCACATGTTCCCTCTGTGCTACTTCCATCCCTTTCTTCTTCTGTGGTTGCACATCACACCTTCAGCCCACCTCATTCCACCCCACATTCAGGACTTCCCATCCTTTCTCCTTCTTGCTGCTTCCCTATTTTGTATCTCTCCGTTTGCTTTTTCTACCAAAGAATCTGTGACATCCATTTCCTGAATTTTCTTGTGCCTCTCCTTTGCTTCTTCTTATTTCTTCTCTTTGTGCCCTTCAAAGAACTTGTTAGACACAGCTGGGGAGGGGGGCACCTCAAAGATAGCTCTGTTATACTGCCTGTTTTCAGGTGGTGCCTTCAGTGAGTCTGTTAACTGTGGAGAACTGCAGACTTATTGATGAGGTGCAAGTCTCTATTCTCCTTAGTTCTTCCTGTTTTTCTGGTGTCTCTTAATCCCTAGAGATTTGTCCACAGATACATAACATTTGGAGTGGTTCATATGTTCAGGAGAAATAATGTTACATTCAGAAAGAGCAGTCATTAATTCAACATCAGGTCTCAAAGATATATATTTTTGTCTTGGGCTAATCTCTGCTGGGATCCTCTGGGGCAGATTCTCAGCAGATTGCTGTCCTGGTAGTCAGGGTTGTAGAACTACCTGCCTTACAACAGCTGCAGATATAAAGCTGGCTTTCTCCAAGCATTCCTTAATTATTTCACCTATTCTGCCTTAGGAGCTGTGGACCAGTGCTGACATGGGGGATCTTCCGTGTTCTACCCTAGAGACAGCTGCACTTTAGGAATGCTAATATTATTGCTGTTGGACATCAGTGAGGTAGTTTGGAAAGTAAGGCTTTGTTATACAGCAATAATGAGAACAGTTTTATTTGTTTGGTTTGTAGGGTTTCTGTCCACTTCCTATGGGGCTGAAGAGGGACAGCTAAATCTGACTATTGTAGGATTGGTTTTGTATTGCATTCTTAGCCTTGGGTCCAGTTATGCAGTTCTGAGGACTTAATGGTAGCACTATCACAGGCAGGCTTTATTGCCTAATAGAATCTCTTTTATTTAGGAAAATAGACACAATGCTACTCACAGTGAGACTTGTCCAGTGCCACTGCTGTCAGCAGCTGCATTACGTGTGGCTGGTATGAACATGGAAAACTGTTTTTGTGTAGAAGCAGCAAATTCTCGCTCCTTGCCCAGCAAAGTTGGCCTCCAGCAAAATACAGCAGCAGTTACTTTGGTTTCTGTGTGCAGTTCAGAAGATCCACTGTCTGAATGAGACCTGCCAATGGCACAGCAGGCTCCGTGAAGGCCAGCAGGGCACTAGTTCATAGCAAGCATGTGTCTGGTGCTCGAGTGTCCAGCTTTCCATTTCTTGTAGCTTTCAGTTGATATTTCAGCATGAGATGTGCTTTGGTTCTTCATGCAAAAATTCATTTGTTGCACAAGGAGAGAATTTCTGCAGTTTGGTTTCCTGGCTGCTTTTGATTGCTGCGATTGTAGAAGCAAGCCCTTTGTTCCTGGCTTTTTCACTGAACTGCATAGTTGCAGCAGAAGACTCTAATTAGGTTCTTTCAAGAGCAGCCAGTTGAGTAGTGTAGCCAAAATGCAGCAAGAGGCTGTTTATTTCTTCATGTTCTAACTCTTGTGTATCCTCTCTTACCAGGCAAAAGAGGCTGGTGCCGATGACGTTCTTGACATATCCAAATGTGAACTGTTAGAGGTATGTTCTCTGGAACTTTCAATATTAGCTGACAGGTCTGATTTCTCAGTCTACTTGTTAGCAAACATCAGATTTAATATCGTGTCTGTGAGCTTTGGGACAGAAATGGCCTTGTGCCCGGGCCACTTCTTCCTCTGTGTGTACGTTCTCTGGTTCTCTGGAAGAGGTAAAGGCCTCTCCCTTACATTGTGCTGTGCTGCTTGTTGCTTCCACAGTGTTCCTGCGCTGGGAATCCTCTTTAATTTGACAGCATGGGAAGGGCAGAGTGACCTCAGACCCTCCTTGTAAGGACCCAACCTCGGGGCCTCCTGGCTTAGTTTTGCTAGTCATAAGGGAATGTTTGTTTTTATTTTTGCAAAAAGTTAGCTATTTATCACCACAGTGCTCTGCAAAGTCTACTGCCTGCGCTGATTTTTCTCTATAAGTGAACATGCCTGGCTCCAGGCTGCTGATTAGTGATGGAAATCTCTTCTGGTGTTGGAGCTAACTAAATTAGAAGCAAGCTGGCTGCTGGAGTATGAGTGGTTAGTGACAGATGGATGGCCTTCAGTTTAGACAGTTTTGCATTCTGGCAGCCATGCAAACCTGCTAAGCAGAAGCCCATTCCTTTCAGTTTTTGTTTATTGCCCTGTGTTTCTGAAGTGTTTGTTCCTGTGTAACCTTTTGTCACAGGATGCCTTTGCAAGCAGGCTAATGAATATACCACTGCTCTTTGAGGAGAGATTTGAGAGAGTGTAGCTGCCAACTGTGCACTGTTGTATGGCTTTGTGAGACTTTGGGAAGCTTTGCTCCAGGACCAGAAGCCAGTGGACCTGTGTGTAGATTTGTGAGCTGAGTGGGGCAGGTTGGAACCAGTCTGTGTGGAAGGGTGGCAGGCACAGGGCGTGCTCTGGTGTAGCTCCGTTGGCAGCTGTAGCTGGTCTTGGATCCTGAGCTGCTCCTTCTGGATTAATACCATAGAACTCTCTCTGTCTTGCTGCTTCCTTTTAGCTGTTGTAGTTTTGGTAAATAAAGTGATCCACGAGATGGGTCTTAAAATTAACTCCAGAATTGGAGTGACAATGATTTGGTCAAAACCTGTTCCGTTCTGCAGAATGAATGATAGTGCTCAGAGCATGGGCTGAAATTGGTGGCATATCCATTTTCTGATTGCCCATCTCCTGCAAAGCCCAGCATACTCAGGTGCCCACATGAGAACACTCAGTTGCTTTCTTCTGTCACTCAGCCCACTGGAGCAGGTATGTTGAGGTTACAGCAGCATACAATACATTTCTATGATGTCTAGCTGAAAATGTGCCTGAACTCCTGAGTCATCCATGCATTTAATAGTAAGTCACTCAGGGTCTGGACTTCTGTCCAAGCCACGCTGTGTTCTGTGCTGTGTGCTACGCTGTTGTGTTGTGCAGAGCCATTGAGGGCTGCTGGCGTGGAAGCTAAGCAGGCAGCACTGGCATCCTGGGCCAAAACAAATATCATAATATCATGTGCATTTTCATAAGAGTTAATGACTGAGATTTTACAGGTGGATATTGTAGAAGTGCTTGGAAAAGAGAATATCTTGTAAAGTCTGATGTGACCATTTGTTAATTGTTTTTAGGTTCCATATGGGGCCTTTGCAACTTGTAAAGTCTTGCAGAAAAAGGTAACGATCCGTTCCTGAAGTAGATAATTCTATTATTGTGCATGAATATTGCTGCTGTATTTGAGATGACTGTTTCTGGCTGTTTGTTTGCTTCAGGAGGAGTTTGTGATGGATTTGGCCATTTGTATGGTACTACGTAGAGAACAATTTGGGCAGGACTAATCTGTTGTGGTGCTTTAGTGCTTCTGTCATGAGAGATGAGATGATGATTTCTATCTTAACCTAATTAATTGTATTTCTCATGAAAAACAACTAAACTTCTGTTTAATATTATATATTTGGCCTCTACAATTCATTTACTATTTCACTGTTTTAGATGACTCTGAATAAGATACAAAACTCTTATATAACCTCTGCAATTAATTTTTAGCAAAAGTCTTATTCTAGGCTGTGGTGCCTCTTATGCTCATGTTTCAATGGGTTTTCCCTCCTCAGGTGCTGATTATTCATACAAATAATCTTACATCTTTAGTTCCCAAGTCCTGTAGCCTCCTGAGTCTCATAACTGTGAAGGTAATTGTGACTTCTAACAGTCATTCTAGCTGCATTAAAACACACTAGCCCCAAAAAAATCCTCCTGTCTGACTGTTGTTACCAAAAAATGGTAATAAAATGTGACAGCTCCCTTTCTTAGCTTTACAAAACCTGGGGGATCACTTGAATGCGGATGAGACTGGTGGTGAGGCCAACTGATGTTGATCAGGGGGCTGCAGCACCTCCCCTACAAAGACAGGCTGAGGGAGCTGGGCTTGTTCAGCCTGGAGAAGAGAAGCTGTGGGGTGACCTCAGTGCAGCCTTTCAGTGCCTAAAGGGAGCCTGCAAACAGGAGGGGAATCAACTGTTTGAAAGGGGAGATAACAGCAGGACAAGGGGAAATGGTTTGAAGCTGAGGGAGGGAAGATTGAGGTTGGATGTCAGGGGGAAGTTCTTTAGAGAGAGAGTGGTGAGGTGCTGGAACAGCTGCCCAGAGAGGCTGTGATGCCCCGTCCATCCCTGGAGGTGTTCAAGGCCAGGTTGGATGGGGCCCTGGGCAGCCTGGGCTGCTCTGAAATGTGGAGGTTGGTGGCCCTGCATGTGGCAGGGGGTTGGAGCTTCGTGATCCTTGAGGTCCCTTCCAACCCTGGCCATTCTGTGATTCTGTCTCTCTGTGAAGCAGTTCAGCCCACGGACCCTGCAGAAAATGTTTTTCTGCCAGCCTGTTTTCATGAACATTATTTGTTCACTTGGCTTGTCCAGTTTTGTGGCACAGTTCCCCTGGTGCCACTCCTTTCCCTGGTCACCTGTTTGTTTATCAGTGTATGGAGTTTTCAAAAGACCTGCAAGAGTGAAGAGCCTCCATCCCATGGGAAACTTCAGACTTTTTTTGAAGCCCTCATGGGAAAAAATAATTTTCATTGGTCAGTAATTCACAACCTTTCATTTTTGCATCATGACATCTTTCCCCAATACTGTTTGGTGAAATTATCTGTTCTTCCAGGTTCTAGATCTGCACGACAACCAGCTGGCATCACTTCCTACTGATATTGGTCAGCTGACATCTCTTCAGGTAAAGGATCTGCTGCATCCTAAGTTTCTGTAAATGGCATGTTAGGGGTCAGCATGAAGGTGGGGTTTTACTGCTGTTTGTTTTATAGTTAAGCACAATGTCAGTGGTGGTCCTCAGGATGTCAGATCTGTGTCACTGATCTGACTGTTGCTGCTGAGCTGGCTTGTCAGGGGGAGAGATCAGGAGAAGAGTGTACTGAAATCTATAATCCCTGCTTAGTCCAAATAGCTCACACTGCCAAGCGAGGGCTGTGAGTGAGTAGAGCTGTAGTTTCCTAAATTGTTCAGGTTTTAGCATTCTCCCTGGGGTGATTACACTCAGAACTCAGCTCGGTGTGTTGCATTTCAGAGGGTCCCCTCTGCTTTGGGGTGCAGCTCTGGATGCACATCACTGCTGTTCAATCATCTGCTCCCTATGTGAGCTGAGGCAGTGTGGCTGGGGAGGCAAGTATGCTTGGCTTTCCAGTTCATGCATCTGCATTCAGCACCTACTTTGGCTGTTGTTTGCAGATGCGTGCAGTAACTGGATGTACCCTGGATTCAGGGTGTCTAGGAAATGAACTGTGTTTTCAGCCTGTGGATCCAAACAGTATTGACAGATACACATTTTTCCCTGGCAGATGATTAAGGACTCATTCTAAAAGCATTTTTGTTTTTGTAACCTAGAAAACTACTTCTAAATTGCTTTTTGGGGCTGCAGAATTGTCCCAATAGCATAGACGTAGTGAAGACTTGAGACTTGTGTAAAGAATATTTTGATTATCTTTTCTGTTGATATCTTAGGTCCTAAATCTTGAAAGGAATCTCTTAAAATGTCTTCCACAATCTATAGGGGATCTTGCCCAGCTCCAGGTCCTCAATGTGAAAGGTATGACATGTTTCTTGTTGGTGCTGCAGGCAAAGCACCATTTGTTTTCTGGGTTGTGCTGAGCTGCATTAATAATTATTCCTTTGAACCAAGGCAGGCACCAGATGGTTTCCATTATGAATACTAAGGAAGAGCATAGGACAGACTTGAATTCAAATAGTTGGTAAGGCAGAAGAAATCTAAGTAGAAAATAATTCCCCAAATTTCCCCAAGTAATTAGGATTAACTAGGGTTTTTTGACTGCTTCTTAATAAATGTGCACACTGTCTGCCTCGATTTTCTTCTGTGTGGTTCAACTCATGGCTCTTGAATGAGACAGTCATGAAACGATGATTCCTTTCATCCCACTGCCCCTTTTCCAAGGAATGTTGGGTCATTCCTGATCTCAAGAGCTGAAAGCTTCTTTGTGTGCCTGCATGTAGCCAGCACTTCAGACCCAAGCTGACTCACCTGTGTGTTGAGGGCTGCCACGAGGGCTGGAGGCACATCTTCCTCCAGAAGCATGAGACTCAGAGCTGGGCACCCAGAGCCCAGTCCTGTGAGCTTGTTCACTCAACCCTTGCAGGTTTGCACAGCCCTAGAAGAGAGATCACAAACATACCTTTATACAATACTTTTGGGCACTGTGTCATTAATATGGGAGCAAAAAGAGTTGTTGTTACAGACAGCTGCTGCTGAAATGGGGAAGAGGATGAAGAGCAAGGCACTCAGAAGTGCAGCTCAGCTTTTGGGTATATCCATCTGGTCTCTGAGCACTGAATTTGCCATCCCACATTCAGTTTCTTTTGTCTGGTTTCTGATACTTACACTGAAGGGAGGAACATCCCACATTACAAATATTGTCCTAATGAAGAGCAGATTGAATCTGTTGCAGTGGCCTCAGCTGAGAAAGGCTGGTTTGGCTTGTGGAAGCACTTCTGGGTCTGTGCAGCTCGGTTGTGTGCAAGCAGATCATAAAATCACAGAATGGCCTGTGTTGAAAAGGAGCACAGTGCTCATCCAGCTCCAACCCCTGCTGTGTGCAGGTCACCAACCAGCAGCCCAGGCTGCCCAGAGCCACATCCAGCCTGGCCTTGAATGCCTGCAGGGATGGGGCATCCACAGCCTCCTTGGGCAACCTGTGCCAGTGCCTCACCACCATCTGGGGGAAAAACTTCCTCCTAACATCCAACCTCAACCTCCCCTGTCTCACTTTAAAACCACCCCCTTGTCCCATCACCATCCACTCTCACACACAGCCATTCCCCCTCCTGTTCATATGCTCCCTTCAAGCACTGGAAGGCCAAAATGAGGTCTCCCTGCAGCCTCCTCTTCTCCAAGCTCAACAAGCCCAGTTCCCTCAACCTTTCCTCATAGGAGAGGAGCTCCAGCCCTCTGATCATCTTAGTGGCTCTAAGATCTTGAGTCCCATTTACCTCTGTTGGCAATGCAATGTTTGCAGTCTTAGCACACCCCATGACAACCCCATTTCTCCAGCACAGGATAGAAAATAACTCACAGAAGGCTCTTACAAATACAGATTGGTGTTCCAGTAGATGAGCTTGCTGGTTTCTGCTTCAGCAGTGCGATGTATTACTACATGACTTTTCACTCCATAGGCAATAAGCTGAGGGAGCTGCCTGCCACAGTGAGTGGTCTGAGGAGCCTGCGCACTCTGAATGTCAGCGAGAACCTCCTGCAGGAGCTGCCGAGGGTGCTGGCTCACATCCGCACGCTGGAGGTATGCACCCAGCCTGCCTGCCTGGCCTGTGCTGCCTGCTCACTCTGCTGCAGGTTGCTGTCCTTCCTGCTTGCTCAATGATAATAAATTCAGCTTAAAAAGCAAATTTCTAGGGCTTGGGTGGCACTCGCTGTAGGGGACTGTAGGTAGGGTAAATGTGGTTCGTAGTGTCTAAATTCAGTTTTGCGCGCTCACCTGCTTTGGTCTTTTCTGATCACTTTTTGCCAAGGTTTAATCACGGCAAAACTGATCTGTAGGGAATAAGCCTCCAAATGTTTTCAGCTGTGACTGCTTCTGGGAGTCCAAACTGAGTCTATGGGCTCAATTTAACTCAGATACTTTCCACTCAGGCTGGTTCTGTCTGAGCAGATTGAATGCTTCTGATGACGTTTTTGCCTCTGTTGCCTTAATAGATCTCTGACTCATTGTCAGCCCCCGTCAGTTCCTGGCTCCCTGAAGAGCACATTCAAAATGATACGAGCACCAGCATTTTTATGGGGATGTTACTTTCTGGCTGCCAAATTTGTCAGTACTAAACTGTGCAAGTGTCAGGGAACAGAGCTGACTCAGACACCAGCACTGAGGGCAGGAATAAACATTGTCCTGTCCTGAGGACTCAACATTAGGCTTCTCTTCTGTTGTAGGCAGGCTCAGGTTTTGAGAGCAGGGACCTGTGCAGCTCGCTGCCTTGTGTTTGGTGAAGTGGTTCCTTTCCTTCCTGCTAAGTCCTTCTCAGCAGGAGGCTCCGTACCCTTGGTTTTGCCGTTCCTCCCATGCATCATGTTTAAGGGCTCCAACACACAGCAGTGGCTGGAATTGAGAAGTGCTTTGTCCTTAAAGACAAAATGCATGTGTCTATATGAGGTGGATGTTGTACTGAGGGACCAGCTCAGAAGTTCCTAAATAAGGTACAGCAGGATCACCTCACCTCTGAAAGTTGTCAGACATCCAGCAGGAGAACAGTACAGCCTTGTGATTATGGCAGACTTCAGGGTAGTATGAAATTACCACACTGCAAGTGAAATTTTGGGAACCTGCAAGCCTAACTGGTTGTATTAGCAACAAAAGTGATCTACCTTTAATGTATTTCCCTTTCAGTAATTTTTCCTTTTAATAAATTCAAGAATTCAACTAGATATGGGTGACATAAATATTCCATCCACTACTCCACCTTCTTTATGAAGTTCTAAAGAAAACCAGCACTATTAACATGCTGAGAGACAGGATTCTGTGGCTTGGTTATTATGGGGTACAAATTAAATCTTGCAGTTTATTTTCCTGGGTCCCAGGCTTGAAACAGTTGGACTCTGGCTGGGCTGTGACAATAACTTGGAGCTCTGTGTGTTCTGTTTTGGAGACACTGACCCTGGATGCTTCTTCCATGACCTACCCATCACCTGATATTTGCAGTGCAGGTACAGAATCCATTCAGCAGTTCCTCTGCAAAGGTAAGTGAGAAGAGTCTGTGAATGTGGTGAGAGCTTGCAGGGCTGTGCTGTGCTCTAAGTAGGTGCCACAGCTTGTTCAAAGGCTGTATTTACAAAGGACAAGCAAGCGTGAGGGTGGTTCTGTTTCAGGTGGTTTCTGATGCTCTGCACACAGGGCAGGCAGGTCAAGTTGTTATGTGTCACTAAGTCTTGGCTGGCAGATAGCAATACATGACTCCTTCCATGAAGTTTGCTTCTCACTGTCAAACTGAAATGTAGAGTGTTTTTGTTAAAACCTCAGGACAGCTGACTTCCTGAGTGAAGTCCTTGCATCTCTCTGTGCTTTTGTTTTCCCATTTGTATTTCCTCCAATGGGAGGTTTTGGAACCATCCAGATACAGATGATGCCTTGGGATAAAGAGATAGACTCAGTAGATCCCTTCTACTCTCATTTTCTATAGGGAAGGGCCAGTGGGCTGATATTTTCCTTAAAGAAATATGAAAACAGATTGAAATCTCAGAGGGAAAAAACACTGGGCTGTGAATTTGTAAACACTATATTCAATACAAACAGGAAGGCCTGGCAGAGATTTTATGCAGATGAGGTGCACTGTGTTAAATGTTTGAAAGAAAAGGACTGTCAGAAGTTATTTGAATGGGAGTAAATTACCTTTTGCAGCCCCACAGAAATGAACACGCCTGTATTCGTGTCTGAGAGTTTTCTCTCCGAGTTGGCCAGCAGAGCATCAACCCAGCTACAAGTGCTCAGTCTGTTTTTGGAGGTTGTCCTCTCCTGTGATTTTAGAAATGGGAGCAGCACTCTCAGCTTCTCCGCTTCCTCCCTCCACGCTGTGCTTTCATCATCTTCCTGGTGGGAATGGGGTGGCACTATCTCTTCTCACAGCTTCTCGTTCCAAGACCTGCATTAGTTCTTATACATCTATGCTTGGAGGGAGAGAGCACAGTTGGAAGCTTCAACTTCCATCCTTCAGCCATGCTGCCGGGAGGTCTTGAGGCACCAGATGTCCTTGTTTTGCATCTGATCTCTTCCAGAGTGTGGAATTGCATACTATCCACCTTCAGAGTACGTGCTCCCTGCACTGGAGAGTGATGGAGAAACGTCAGTGGATGGGGTGGACAGGACAGTGCACAAATACTTGGAGGAGGAGAGCAAGTGGCAGGTGAGGCTCCACTGCACGTGAAGCTGTGTGCAAGTTTTGGATTTGTCTCTCAGGTGATCCAGCAGATCTCACAGCTCTTTGCACATCATTCCTCATCGCTGCCTACCCAGTGAAACCTGACATTTTGAAGCAAGGGAGCATCAGTACCAGAACCAGGCATGGCATCGTGGATGTGCGTGGTTCATCTCCTCCCTGGGCAGCTGGGAATAATGTTATCATGTCTGACTCCTAGAAAATATGTTGCAGAGAACTGCCTCCATCCTTGGAGATCTGCATAACTTGGCGGGACAGGGAGCAATCTGGCCTGACTTGGACATTAGTGCTGTTGTGAGTAGGAGGTTGGAGTGCAGACCTCCAGAGATCTCTTCTGACTCCAGTTTTTCTATGGTAGTTGCTATTTTCTGAGGTACATTAGTTTAAATCATTATCTTGAAAACAACAGTGCAGAAACTACCTAGTGATTCACAGCCAAGTGCTGGACATTCCCAGCCCTACCTGGGAAAGGTGAGGCTAGGCCTGGAATTATGACACGTTCTGTCAATTCTCTGTTTTTCTCTGGCCTTGGATGGATGACTGGACTTTGGGGATATGTGAATCTTAATGTGCCTTTGGTTGACATGTTTACCCACTTAGGGAAAGAGATAATGTGGGCTAATGATATCTATAAAAAACTGTTCCTAGAAGTAAATATCTCCTGATTCTTTTCTTTTTCAGAATAAATTCTCAGACTACGAGAAGAGGAAGGTAAGGATGAACCCCTGCAAGTGCTTTGTCTGGAGAATGGGACCACCTCTATTTCTTGTTTTCTATTTTTTCTCAACCAAAGCTGAATGTTGACCTTGCAGAACATCCTCAAAACACACTCACTCCTCACTGCAGAGCACAAGTGGGAGCATGGGGAAATGGCAGACTGTATTGCCTGACACATACTGCTGATGAGTGCGGAGTCTCTCATGAGTGATCAATTCCAGTTTAAGTTAGTCCTTGTCTGCAGAGTTGGATCTGGAAGCTTTTACACCAGAAAGCTTCTTGCTTGCCTCTCTGTGCTGAACACTCAGTTACTTTTCACATGAGGTGGGCAGATGCAGGGCACAGCCATACTGAGCTCTGTGCAGAGGCAACACACACACACACACAATCCGTTTTTCTCACATAAGCTCCTGTCAAGCTTACTTTGTCCCTTTGCCTAGACCTCTTGGCTGGCTGCTTCCCTTCACTCAGTTGTCCTCAGACAAGAGTGCCCTTGCCATCTGGAGCTGAACACAACCTTAATTTTGGATTCCACTCCTAGCGTTGAGTGTTTGTATTGGCTTGAAGCAGAAGTTCCCTGTGTTTCTGTTGTATGAGTTGATGCCTTGAAGTGTTGGCTTTGTGACTATGAAAGGAATTGCAAGGAGTTGGGAAGCTGTCATAAAGAGAACAGCAACTTGTGCCTCACAATTTTTGGTTTCCTAGGGACAGAACGTTTCCATCCCCTAGTAAAGCCTCCTGGCTAGTCAGAGCCTTTTGGCTTTCTCTCTTGTAGCTGTGGGGATTAGTGTGCCTTGTTTTGCACTGCCAGAATTTGTTTTTATTTGAGAAGGAGCGGAGCCAACTCTGCTGATTCCTGGCATTCCTCTTTCTTCTCAGGAAAAAAAAAAGCAGGAGAAACTTGAATTTGAGCGGCGCTTGAACATGGGGCAAAGAGAACATGCACTGCTTGTGCAGCAGATCAACAATCAGAAGGATGAGATACTGCAGACAGTAAGAGAGGTAGGTCTCTTCTGGGCAGGAGCTCTAATCCCTGCCCATTTGCTGAGCAAGGGCTGTGCCTGCTGCCACAGACAGACAGGTGTTTCGAGTGTCCACGTGAGCAGAAACTTTCCTTCTAGAGACAGCAGCTCATTCACTGCCCTCAGTGTTTTGCTTCTGCTTTCTCCCTTGGGGTCATTAGGCATGCTGTAACAGTCATTTTGATTGTACAAATTGGAGCTGTTTTTTTTTTCTTTTTTTTTACATCTTTCCCATACATAATTGCTTGACTTCACAAATTCTCAACATCTCCTTGGAAGCACCTTGGAGTGATTCTTCTTTTCCACTGTGTTTAGGCTGCCCCATCTGATGAAGGATGAAGGATCTGATCTCCTTCTCATAACATCTCCCCAGAGCTGCCTGGGCACTGCAACCAAACCCTCCATGGTCTGGCCCAGTACAAGATACTACGTTTCCTAAACTGACCGTGTTCTCCTTTGGTTCTTTTACCTTGGCCTAGGATCAGATGAGGTTGGAGGAGGGCCTGACAAAGCACCAGCGCCATTTGGAGGAGGAGCGCCTGAAACTGCTGCAGCAGCTGAAGCAAGCAGAGCAAGGCATTGCCAGCCGTATCCAGAAGCTGATAGAGGACAATCAGAGGTGAGGCAGTCACAGGACATCCTGCAGTGAGCTCTGTCCACTGGGGACTCGTGTCGTGCTCTGAGTTGTTCATTTTGGCCTCTCTGAGTTTTAACAGAGCTGGTCAGTCCTGATACTTACGTGGAGTGCATGTTGCTTCTGTGGGCCCTGTCCAGCATGCAGCCTTTGGACAGAGCTCCCCAAAAGACCTGCAGGCTTGGTTACAGAGCTAAACTGTCCCTGCAAGCCTGTGCTGTACAGACAGAGGCAGTGGAATTGTACAGACTCCTGTGCTGTCCTGGCTGTGGACATGGCTGTTTCTTCCCTTCTCATGTGCACTAGCTACATTGAGTTTGTCTGCACTCAAGTATGTGCTCATAGATTTGCAAATGAAGATACCACTTTCCCAGCTGCCACTTCTAGCAGAACAGGATCAGTGTCTGTGGATGGAGTGTTAGTTGCTGAACTGCCAAAATCCCACTTAAATGAAGTGGAATTCTGGGTTGGCACCTCAGAAGAATATTTCACACATCTGTGCTTTTGAAGTTTTGTGGTGCTGTGGAAAAATTTGAATTCTTCATGGAAGTTACATATTTGAACAGCAGTGCTTAGTGTTCCTCTTCAGTGCTCCTTCTGGAAGGTGCATATTTGAGCACTGGTCTGGGTCTGCTGGATCTCATGTAGAGCTGGTGCAAGGTTACACGCCTGCTAAAGTCTGATGTTCTGTGTGTGAGAAGCAAAGTTGTTTTCTGCTTACTGGGGGAGTAAGATGTGCTGCTTAGCCTTATGAAAACCTTTTGTTTTATCTTTATTTAGGCAAAAACAAAGTTCAGACATTCTGAAATCCTTGGAGAATGAGAGGTGAGTAACCTTGAAATTAATTTTTTGGGAAAACGGTCAAGGAAGAGTTTGGAGACCCTCAGTTCAGAGCCCCCAGTTTGAATCCATGTGAAGTCAGAGGGGTCATTTTCTTATTTGCTGAAAGGTTTCCTGCTGCTTTGCCTGCAGCAGCTGATTCTTGTCACTTGGAAGCAAGATAGATGTGCTTGGTTTTACTCAGTCTGGCAGACCCTGTGGGCTGGTGATTGCACCTACTTTTCATCTCAGAATGGTCCTAGCTAAGGAGTTTGGGAACAAAACCCTGTATTCTGCTATCAAGGGCCAAGAGAAATCTGTTGGAAATCAAAGCACTTATAGAAGTGGTCCAGTAATGTGTAGGGGAGGAATACACCAAACTCAATGCTGCCATTCAGCCAACACTTTGATCTGGCTTTGCCCCTAAAATTGGTTTTCTGCAACTCTCCTCTACTTTTATATTGCCCCCTGCTTCCATCTGCTGTGACAGAGTAAACTGACCTGGCTGAAAAATATTCTCTTTGTATGGCAGATAGTTTTTATGTCAAACCAATCCCCAGAAGGTTAAGTGGTGGTGTGTGTAGTTGTGCTGGGACAAGGACAGGGAGGTGGGAGGGAGACGAGGCTCCTGCTTATAATGGCAATGCTCACTGCAGTCAGCTTTAAAGTGCTCCTCAAGCCTCAAGGGAAGGAAGCCTGTTTCCCAGATCCTTGTTAGGTCTTCTGGGATGAACTTTCCATTGTAAGAAGCAGTTGTTCCCATGGTTTTGAGGAAAATTTTATTTTTCAATAGACTTAGATACCCTTTCCAAGAAATCGCTGCGACTTTTGATTCTCTGGTGAGCACATGGCTTTCTTGTACAGGTTGCTTGCTGAATCTACCCAGCCTTGGGTTCTGAGCTGAGTGAGCAGGAGAGGAGTGAGGTAGTGCTTCTTTGAATGAGTGGCTGAATTATTCTTGTTTGCTTGCTAGAATAAGGATGGAACAGCTGATGGCAATCACACAGGAGGAGACAGAGCATCTGCGCAGGAGGGAAGTGGCCTGTAAGTCCAAATAACTGGGATAGTAGGTTACTGGAAAGACCTGGTTCCTTTGGAGATGCCCTGAAAGGTGATTGCTGTGTGGGAGATGCTCTGCTACTCACGTTCTTGCTGTTTGTTGCCTCATGCATAGAGCAGACTGGAAGTGGGCAGCACTGTACACATACCATGGCTGATCAGTGCTCCCACCTGCAACTCACTGCTAATTCTCAGGCGTGAGAGCTGTGTCAGAGCTGTGCCCCTGATGTAGCTGGAGTGTGTTGCACAAGGAGTCTGAAACTGATTGTAAGGCATCCTGTGTGCACAAAGTACTTTCTATTTTAGAAGTACCAAGCAGATGTTGACTGATCAGGTTTGTGAGGCGGGAAGCATATTAGGAGGTAAGCAACAATGCCACAAGGGAACCATTTCTGCTTATTGTGAGCATGAATGGAGCTGCTGGGGTTACAATGGAAATGATGTGTGTGTTGTCACCCCAGGAGTGAATGGTTCACAGCAGTGCAGACAGGGCTGTAGCCTAAAGCACTGATTTTGCTTCTCCAAATACTGAAGAGATGCAAGCAGAGTAGGATTTGTTTGTGTGATTTTCCAGTAAATAACCACAATTCTTGCAGCTGAATGAATCTCCTCATAAATGAATGAGATGGGAACAATGAGAACAGGTTGAAATGAGAGAAAAGGCACTATTAATTGCAAGTTATTCTAGCAGCAGTGGCAGATCAGTGTCTCTTCCAGAGAGGAGCTCCTGATACAGACTGACAGCACTTCTGTCTCCTAGCTGCCATGCAACAAATGCTGGCTGAGAGCTACAAGAACAAGCTCATCCAAATGACCTATGAATCTCGGCGGCAAGACCTTGTCAGCCAGGCCTGCTCCAGGTATGCTGGGAGATCTCTGGGGCTGGAGATGCTGTTGTTGTAAAGTTCCTTGCTTGCCAGCACTCTTTGGTGTGATTCCCATGTAAAGGGCCAGGAGTTTCTGCAGCTGCTGGATGGCAGCGGAGCAGCTCTGTGTGAACCAGGTGACAGTGCAAAGAAGCGTGGTTAAATGAACCACCTTCTAACCACGAGAACATGAAATGTTAATCATGCTTTGCACCTGTCACATGTTTATACCATTCATTCTACCTTATACATCCTGCAAGTATGGAGGATGAAATTAGACTGATCTTTTTGTTATTTGGTAAGTCAGTGTCAAAGTGCAGCGCAGAGCCTCCTAGGACTGTCTAGAGGATTACGTTTCTTTTTCCGTGGTATTAAAAAAGCTCCTAATGGAGCAGATAATAATTATGGTGCAGAACTTCTCCTAGTGGAAGCTGTAGCCTTTCATTTGTTGCACTCTTGTGGAATTTTCATAGTTCTGCTGGACAAATTACAGAGCAGGCTGAGGTTCTTCATGGTTGTTTACAGCCACATTTCATTTCTTAGAAGCAAGGCTCTGTTCTCAGATGTGGTCCTTCTTGCAGGGTCTTTGGGGAAGTGAAGCAAGCTGAGAAATTAGGAGGAAAAAATGGAACTTGTGGACTTTATTGCCCACAGAGCTATGAGACCTTGTGACATGCAAGCTGGGATGTGTCACTCCAGGAGCCAGTGTGAAAATTTCCATCTCTGAGCAGTGAAATTGAGCAGTGATGAGCCAGGTGGAATCGAGCAGTGTTACAACAGAACAGTTGAAAACTTCACATTTTGTAATATGTGAAGGAGGCACAGAATATTAAAAATCCTCTGGACTGTAAGGATTATGTGGGCACAGTTTGTGTTCGTGTAGCACACTGCTATAAATGAAGAAAATTCTAGCTCTTTCTATTTACAAGGATGTGAGAAATTTAATCTGGAGGTGTCTGACAGACAGAATTAACATTGTGCAGCCGTGCTCTGCCCAACAGAGGGCAGTGGGTAGACACAGTCCTGCCTGCAAGTGCAGGCAATACCTGACCCTGCTGTCTGGACCTTCATCAGCACAGCTTTTTCCAGTGCAGAACACTGATGTGCAAATTCATCACCTGGGCAGCTTGCTGGGGCAACCACGGCCCCTATTTGGATTTTCAGTAACTCCTTGACAAATGTATTTTCTTGCAGCCTGGCTGAGATGGATCAGAAGTTCCAGCAAATCCTGGCTTGGCAACAGATGGATCAGAACAAAGCTGTTGGTCAGATCTTGCAGCAGGTAGGCAAGAGAGCAAATTGCATGCAGGGAGAGACTGAAGAAAGGCAGTAGGATTCAAAAGCAGAGTTGAGAGTGGCAGGCATGGGAGCAGTGGTTGCAGGGTTGGGCTGTTTGCAAGAGTTGTTTTATAGAACACTACTGGTTTAACTTGGAGATCGGTGTTCTAACAAGCTGGATTTCGTATCTGAGAGAAAAATGTGTTTATACTTTAACTAGACAGCAACTTCTCATAAAGGACAGCAGCACAGACCATGGGAAGCAAAAGTGGTGTGATGATTAATACAGAGGATTTTAAGATTTGAGAGAGTTTTGACAAGTCCTGTCTTTTTGGCAGGCTTCTTGGGTGACTTTGGACAAGCTATCTGGATGCCTTTGGGATGCATTTTCTAAGCATCTTCTGCTTTTGAATACCTCATTTTGAGACCTCCTCAGCTCACTTTTCAGAAGTGCTGGGAAGTCATGCCTTGTTGCACAGACCTGGCAGCCTGGGTGCTCAGTGCTGCTGAAGGTGGGGGGTGGGGTTCATACACAGCACTCAACGTGTGTGTATGTAGAGCATGACTGTAACTTCTGTCATTCTGTAAGGAGGGTTTTACCCTCTGGTCAGAGATCTTTACCTTCTGGTGAGATCTATGCCATATGGTAATGTGAGCACTGTTCATGCAGAGTTAGCACTGTTCCTTTGTACTTGAGTCACTGCAAGGCAGCAGGGTTTCTTCAGGCTGTTCACATCTGCATGAGCAACCTGCACTGAGCAGAATGTTGTCTGTCCCTTAGAGTGAGATGCAGAAAGCTGCCTTTGAAGCTCTCCAAGTGAAGAAGGATCTTATGCACAGACAGATCAGGAACCAGGTGAGTCAGCAATAGAGGAAAGAGCAACCAGCTCCTCATCATTTGCTGAGACCCTTATGAGGAAGATCAAAGTGCTGTGAGCACAGAGCAGGAAGGAAATGGAGAGCTCTTGTATTGCTGAGAGCTCTGTAACAAAGCTTTGTGCAGAGTGGGATAAACCACAGTCTCCCAGTACCATAGGAGAGAGTATAGAGACAGATTTTACATTTGTGGAGTTAGTAGGATTGCCATTGCTTTGGTCATCTCAAAACTGCTCTGAATGAGATGCTGGAGAGTGGTCAGTAGAAGACAGACCTGCATTGGCTCTGTAGGGGTGGTCTGCAATTGCAATGACCATTTTCCTTCTGGTTTCCTTGGTAGGGCTGTTGTTTCCACGAGTCACTGCATCTCCATCTAGCACACTGTAACTGCGCCTTGAGCCATAAGTTCACCTTTTCTTTCCCATTCTTAGCCTGCCTTTCTGAGCAACATTCTACAAAAGGTGAAACAAAATAGTCAGGGGAAGAGCAAGAGCTGCTGGGGAGGTAGCAGTGATTGATGTGTGGAGGTGGGTAGCTGCTTTCTGATACAGCGTTCCAGTTGCTTCCCTCTCTTGATCTGACACTAGGAGAAAAGTCTCAGGTCTGGAGTTGGTAGATAAGCTCAAAGGCTTTGATATATTCAGTCACTTGGTGACCAATCTTTGCACTGTGCTTAAAACCTATGGATTTTGCACAGACAATCCAGAAGATGAATCTAACAGCCTTCCATTGCCTGAAATCAGTAAGAGCCCGGCAGTTTGCTTGCTCTTGCTTTGTAAACAAAGGGAGTTTGTTTCTTGATACCATAGGCTGGGCCTTTTGCTATTGAAACTCATCCCACCAGCATCCTGTAGGGCAGGAGCTGTAGGTGCAGCCTGCACAAAGCCTCTGTCAGCAGGAATTTGGTGGTAGGTGGCACGCAGGAAGCAGAATGGCCTGGGATGAACAGGTACAGGTAGCTGGGCTGGCAGGGGAGCTGGGCTCTCTTCTTGGCTTGCTGTGGGATCTTGGGCAGCTCATTTCACCTCTCTGTGTCTCAGTTACCCTGACTGAAAGAGCATGTATCGTGATGGGAATTGCTGAAGCAGCTGGGATCCATGACAGAGCCCCCAGTCCATCTGCAGTTTGAACACTGGTGCTGAGAGGATTTTGATCACAGCTGCTTTCCAGAGTGGCTGCAGGGTTTGGCTGAACTGATTGCGCTGTGCTTCTGGTCTGGAACAGAAGGTGTTCAGTGCAGAGAGGGGGAGGCAGTTCTTCAGGCATGAGACAAAGAGCAGCTGCAGAGCACGTGTCGTGGTAGGGCACCAACGTTCCCAAGCTTATGGGCAGCTCTGCAGTGTTGTCCTTCCAAGGCCAGTAGCTAGACCTCATTTTGAAAGAGTGTAAATTAAAATCATTTCAAATGTCAGTAAAAAAATGTTTCATCTTCTGTTTAGATTAAATTAATAGAAACAGAGTTATTGCAGCTGACACAGCTGGAGTTAAAGAGGCAAGAACTGGACACAGAGACGCTGCAGGTATGTAGGGCCCTGGGACTGCCCCACCACCCTCTCTCTGCTCTGGGATTGCGAAAGCTTCACTTGCTTCTTTGGCTTCTTGCAGTTTCCTGGTGGTTTTGTGCTTAATCAGAAGGTACTTAACCCCAGGACACCAAAAAAACCTCTTTGTCATGGTGATATGGAAATGCTGCTGCTGCTTTTAAACTTCCTGATGAATGGCAGGAAAGAGACAAGTAACCTGGCCTCCTTAGAAGTGGGCAGCTGTAGGCTTGCTGTGTGTGGAAGGATGTTTCAATCGAGTTGTTGGCTGTCCCAGAAATCCCTGCTGAGCATCTCATGTCTTCTCACATGTTGTGTTTGGTTTTAAATACCCGACAACAGTGGCTGCCAGCTCTTCTTCATTTCTAGCCCATGACTCCTAGGCTCTTCCACCCCACCATCCCACCATTCAATGGGTTGACTCCATCAGCAGTCACACACTGAGAAATCTCACATTTGGCTTAAGCAGCTTGGCTTTAAATTTTGTTGATACACCTTTGCATCAGTTTTTGCCTTGTGTGCACAGTTTCCCAGTTTGGGTCACCTCTTTAGTCAGCCCAAGAAAGCGAGGATGTATTCCAGTGCCTATCTGTGTGGCTGTTGGGGCACAATGTGTTTGCAGCTACACTTCTGCACACCAGGAGAGCAAACTGGAGACAGCTTCATCTGCCTGCATCCCCTCTGCTGTTTGATGGTCTGCAGCCCAAAAGTTCCTGCTGCCGTTGAGCCCTTATTGCTCAGGCAGTGCCCACAAAGTGCTTTGGCAGAAGTATTCCTGCAGTCATGTTTGTGCAGCAGATTGTTGCTCCTCCTATAAGATACAGGTGCTTTAGTATTGAGCTTGGAGAATCACAGGAAAGCAGGAAGAATAACAAAAAAAGCCCTGAGAAAGGGAGGTGTTTGCACCAGTTATTTTTTGCAAGGTTGGTTTGGGAGAGACCAGTGCTGATAGGATATCCTCAGCTGCTGTCGGTTGCTCCTTTGCATGTCTGCAGGCTCCTAGACGTAGTTTCAGGTGATCCTCCATTAAGGAGGACCACAAACACTTCTGATGCCACTGAATGAACTTTTAGTGCAGTGATGAAGAGCTGCTGCAGGCCGGCACAGCCTGGGGCTGCTCGGTGTGTGCTGAGGATTGGCACCACTGGTGAATGGTCAGTGCAGGACCAAAAGAAACAGGCGTGCCATGCCAAAGGGAGGATTGAGGCCATCTGCTCAGCTGTGCTGTGGGGCCCATGCAGCATAGGACTCTAACATTTGCTCTGACAGTTCTGGGTATATGGTAAGTGCTTTGCTGGAAATGGGGCAGGGGTTTCCTGCAGACCTGAGAAATGGATGCCAGAGTCCTTCTGTTGCAGGGGGTGATCATGGAGCAACGCCAAGCACTTGGTTACCTGCTGCAGCAGCTGCTCAAAGAAAAGAAGCAAAGGGAAGAAGAATTGCAACAAATACTGGTAACGAAGGCCCGTAATTCTGGGCTGTAGATGAGCACAAAGCACAAGCCTTTGTAAGCATGAAGGCTGTCTGCAGGGAGAGCATCCATGGGTCAGCACAGGGATAAAGAAGAGCAGGGAGGGGCTCTGAGTGGTGGTGTCCAGACTCAGACTTCAGAAAGTGCTGATGGAAGCTCTTGGGGCATGGTTACCTCTGGTCCCTGGTGCAGTGTGAGGCCCTGGTATCTGAAATGTCCTCTGCTTCCCCCATCTGGGGATGATCTTTCCCATTTCTGGGGAAATCACAGGAAAGAATCAGCATGATCCTACTGGGTGTCTGCATGTGGCCTTGTAATTCTGAAGACCTCTAGACTGTCCTGAGCTTCAAAAGGCTGGGCTTTAGTACATAGGGCACAGTGAGCAGAGGGATGCAGAGGGTGTGGGATGTGGGGATCAAAGTGGGACCAGCCTGGCAGTTCTCTGAGTCAGCCCTACACAGCCAGGCTGCTGATTTCCCCTTAAACACACAATTCAGGCTGCTCTAAATAGCACTTACTGCATTATCTCAGGCTGTTGAGTGAATGAGTTTGTTTTTCAGTTGGAAATGGAAGCAAAGAGTGAAACCAAACAGGAGAACTACTGGCTGATCCAGTACCAGCGCCTGCTGAACCAGAAGCCGCTCTCCCTGAAACTCCAGGTTGCTGCTGCATTTACTGCTTCCACTGTAGTGTGCACACTAACAAAATGCTCTGCTTGACAGGTGCAGAGGAAGGAACACTTTGTTCCAGCCAAACCTCTGAACAGCTCCGCTTGGCTGCCTGGTGCTTTACAGTACTGAGCCAGGGACTTTGTGCTGTGAAAACAGCTGCGGGGCAGCCCCAGAGAGATTACTCTGAGCTCCAGCCCTGCTGTGTGTCAGCTCAGGTTGGCAGAGCAGGTGCTGCTGCAGACATCAGCTGCCAAAATTGCTGTGTTTCATTCTTCCAAAACCAAGGTGTTCTGAATTTCGCTCATAAAGTATTTGCAGCCGGAGCTCCCTTGGCTGTTGGGCTTTTTAGTGTGTTCATGGAAGCAAAATGCTTCTAGAATGGCCTTGTTCTGAGAGCAGGACTATGTGCATTGCCTGTCCTTGCTGCCATGCATGGTCAGGCAGCTGTGTGCCCCACACCTTTTCTCCAGAGCGAAGTCTGAGAGCTCGCCTTGTGTTTTACAGGAGGAGGGCTTGGAGAAGCAGCTGGTGAACCTTTTAATCGAGCTGTCAGCTGAACAGTATGTGCCTGTCTTTGCACACCATCGAATTTCCTTGGAAGTGCTCAGCACCATGACTGCCAGTGACCTGGAAAAGGTACGAGGCAGCAGACAAGCAGTGCAGGGCAACGCTGCTCTGTGTCTGACCCTGCCGAGCCGTGCTCGTGGTTGTGCCCACTGCAGATCTCGCAGGACGGAGTGTTGGTGCTCCTGGTGTGCCACATCTGTGCAGGGGGAGGTGCTGATGCTACACTGTGCCTTGACCAAGCAGGTGACAGATTTTCCAGAGCACCTGCAGAGTGAGCTGTAGCTCAGCTCTGCCTTTCAGTCCCTCAGATGCACTTTGTAGCTCAACAGAGGCACGTGCGAATTCTTTTATTCCAGCTTTGATGCCTGATGGAGATTCTCCCCTTGACGTGAACAGGTCTTGCCAGCCTGGCCAAAGAGTTTGTGTTGTTCTCTTGGAGGTGTCTCCTTTCTCAGACCCCTCCGTGCTTTCTCATCTGAGTGCTGACAACCCTCCTTTTGCACTGCAGATGGGCATTGCAGAGACTGGCCTGCAGCGTGCCATCCTCAAACGGGCGCAGGAGATCCTGGCTGTGGCAAAGACAATCCCAGGTACCAGCAGTTCTTTTCTGCCTGCTCCTTGACGTGTCGTGTGGTAGCAGTGGGTACCTGAGCCTTGAGTGGGGAGATCTGCAGGGCCAGATGCCAGCCTGTGGGGAGTAGAGCTGATGGAGGTTTGTGTGCCTGTGGGAGAGGCATTCTGCTGCATTGTCACCATTGACTCTCAGAGCACTGAGCTCCCGTGGGCATGCAGCTGCTCCTGAGTGGGTGGAGATGGAAGCTCTCCTCGAGCTCAGACCTCTGTTTGTGCTTGCAGAGCTGCTGAGGACGGTGGACGCCGAGGTCCCTGCAGCCACACAACCCAGTGCCCCTGAGGAGGAGGCCCCGAGTTCTGTGGTCCCCACTGCTCCCCTGCTGCAGTGGGATGAGAAGAAGTCAGAGTGCGTTGTCTGCATGGAGCAGGAGGTGAGAGCCCATGTGTGCTGCCAGAGCAGGGGTGAGAGAGGGCCAGCTGGGATGTGGCACTGGGCAGTGCTCTTCCTCAGGTCTGTTTCACTGCGCATTCTTTGCACAGTGCAGGGGCTCAGGGTGCTGGCACTGTCTACCACTCTGAAAGCTGTAGGTGTTGCCCATCATCTCCAGCTTCCTCCAGCTGTATTTTGTCTAAGTGTGGTGGTGCTGAGATTATGGTACAACAGCACTGTTTATGTCTTCTCTCTCTTTCCACAGGCCCAGATGATTTTCCTGCCTTGTGGCCATGTGTGCTGCTGCCAGACCTGCTGCAAACAGCTACAGAGCTGTCCTCTGTGCCGCGGGGACATCACACAGCGCGTCCGCATCTTCTACAGCAGCTAGGCAGGCTGGAGGGAGGCATGGCTGCCCAGCACTGCCCTCATCACTCCGTCCCAGGGCAGGGCTCCTCTATCAGTATTAAATATGCTCTCACAGCATGACCAGCGCTGCCCTCTCCCTGCACACGGCTCTGGCTGGCTGCAGGCTGCACCCAGGGCTCTCAGCAGCCCTCCACCTTCCTGGTGGCTTTCCAGCCTTTGGCTTGGGTTCTTCATCTGCATCCACCACCCAGCTTGTTTGCCCAGCCTGGGAGCACTGGGTGATGGCGTTGGGTATACTGGTGCTCCTTCTCTCTGGCTGTATATTTGCCATTGGAATTGCCTGTTGCTCAGCAGGGTCGCAGTTAGAGCCATTGCTTCTGAAGCCACTGGACCCTGCAGCTGCTGTATCATGGCCATGGCATTTGCCATTCTTCTGCTGTGGTGAATTCTCCACCAGGAGAGGCACCCTGCCTTGTTAACGCTCTGGGAGGCTGAGAGTGCTTTGCTCGTGTGTTGTTGCCATAGGCAAGACTTGTGCTCTTGCAATCAGTGGCAGCATGGCTGGGGGCTGCAGCAGGAGGCAGGGCAGAGCGAGGTGCTTCCCATCCCTCACTGTCAATCCCACTGAAGAGCAGCATCTGCAGCAGCCTCACAACCAGCGCTCGAGGGACAGCTCTGACTAGAAGACATTCCTCGTTGAGACGTGCTGTGTGGGGGAAATGTTCCTGCCACAGAGTTCCAGCTCTTCCTTGTGTACGTGTGTTGGCATCTGTGTTGTTCCCCATTGTCATTAATAAGTAACGATCCCGGTGGGGCTTTTAGTCTCTTGACCTCAAGTGTAAAACACAGAGATAAGTCTGGTCCTGCTGCAGCCCTTTCCCCCAGGAGAAACTATTAAATACAGCTGGTTTCGGCTGGTTGTTCGATCCCTTTTTATTGCCCCTTGTCTCGCAGTCGCAGTAGCGCCTCCTCCCGGCCCAGATAAAGACATGGAAAAATTTGAGGGTTTGGATTCAGCACTGATGACTTCCAGACAGCTGAGACCTCAGGGACCTCTGCTGCCGTCGTGTTCTGTTTACTGTGCCCTGGCACCGCAGCCTGGAATTGGGGGCTGGCACGGGGCCGGGCGCTGCAGGAAAGCGGCGGTGTGAGAGCCCTGAAGGGCTCACTGCGTCTGGGGCAGCGCCAAGACTGCGCCGCTGTTTGCACGGAGCTGCGACCGCAGGGAACAGGCAGGTCCCTTCCGGAGCCTTGGGGACGCAGCGCAGAGGGGCTCAGCCTCGCATCCTCCTCGCCTGGCATGGCGTGGAGGTGCTCGGCATCTCGTGGGGATGGGGAGCGGTGAGGTGCCGGCTGGCGGGGCGGCAAGAAGGCTGGCAGCTCGCCGCGCTGCTCTCGTGTTGCCAGGGCCCCGCAGGGAGGAGTGCATCACAGCTGCTCTCATTGAGCTGCCAGCGGCTGCCGGCTGACTCCGGTGCTCCCAAGGTGGTGGTAATGAGTGATGAGCCCTCGGGCAAGGTCCGCTGCCTGCCCATAACGCACTGTGCCAGGAAAGCCCGGGGCAGGAGGAGCGGGCAGGGCCGGGCTGCCTCTCATCCCCAGGGCCAGCCCTGCTCGGCTGCACAGGGGGACGCAGCCGCAGCCGCAGTCGGGCAGCAGCTGGCGCTGCGACCGACCCAGGTTAAGGGCGGTGCGATGCTGAGCGCTGACAGCTGGGCACGCAGGGCTCGGTGAGCTCGTTGTAAAACAAAATAACAAGACCAACGCGTTGTGCTTAGGGAATACTTGGAATATCGAGGCTCTGTAAAGGAAAAGAAGGAAAAAGCATTTTGTTTCATGGACCGTGGGCAGATAACTTATCACGTGGTCACGCCCTGGGGTTGGTCACCCATCCATTACGCACCTCTGGTGGGAAGGAAGGCTGGCTCTGTCTCCTGCTTTCGGGGCCACTGGGGCACCCGGAGCTCCACGGCAGCCCCGGGCAGCGGAGGAGGAGCCGGGCCGGCGCCGCCGGGCACCCCGGGGCCGGGCTGAAGTTCAGCCTTCGCCTTCCAGGGCACGGCCGCCAGCCGCCTCCAGCCTTCAAAAGCACGAGAGCGGCGCGGCGCTGCCCGGGAGCGGCATGGCGGCGGGGCCGGAGACCGGCGGGGTGTGCGGGATCTGCTATGAGGCGTACGGGGCGTCCGGGCGCCCCAACAGCTGCCCTGCAGCCACTCCTTCGGCCAGAACTTATTGCGGGCCGGGTGACGAATCCGCTGTTGGGGCAGTGCCTGTGCCCAGCGGGCCCAGCTGTGTGCGTGGGGGGAGAGAGGGGCGGTGGGCCTTTGGGGCCGGGCTGGGGGGCTGTGGAGGCCGCAGCTGTCACTGAGATAAGAAATGGCTCTGCAGAGCTGGAAGTCAGGAGCTCAGGAGATACGAGGGGCTCCCGTTGTGCTCCTGAGTGCCCCTCCTCTCCTGGCTGCACGCTGAGGGCAGGTGGAGGCAGGAACAAAGGGCAGGAGCAAGGGCAGAGAACTTTTCTGCTTTTCAATCTTCCGAGAAAACAAAAAACCCTGAAATCTTACACATATGCATGGGATCTGTTGAGTCCCAGCCTGAACCACTGGTTCAGCACCTGCAGAAAGGAGCTGCTCAGCCCTAGAAGCAACAGGTGAATGCAATTCTGCTGTGTGATGGAAGGGTTTGAGCCTGGCTGCGCCTCCCTTAGACCTCATGTAAGGGCTGACCGCAGCTGGGGAAGGATCTCTGTCTGGAGATCCCTCCTTGGTGGTGCTTCTTCCTGTGAACCTGGGATCTTCTGGTATGGGTGAGCAATCTCCCCTTCCTTTATAGCACCTCTCTATGGCGCCAGTCCTTCCATCATCACACCTCTGTTGTAACGCCTTTCCTAGTCACAGGATCACAGAATGGCCCGGGTTGGAAGGGACCTCAAAATCATTTCTTGCAATACCAATTCTTAACAGCAGTTTTACAATGGAGCATGAAAACAAATCTGCTCACAGGATGGAGTTGCTCCAGAATACTAGAGTTTGCAGGTTCACAATCAAGCCTGGAATGGCACACGTGGAGAGGGTTCAGGAAATCCGACAGTGAAAGATAACTTCAAAGAAATAAATAACCCAACGCAGCCACAGTATTGAAATTGGCCTTGGCAGCTATCAGTGTCTAACTACTGTTATTTTAGAGCGGTGGATCTCTTTAGCAGCCACCAATTTACTCGGCCAGCCGTTATAAACCTTAATTTTTCATAATTGCACACGGGCTGATCCAAAAGTAATGCCTCCTGTTTTATAATGCCGGCCCACAACATCACAGGTGGACGCTGGTGGGATGACAGCAGAGGCTGAACCTTCCTGCCAGCACTCAGATACATTTTGCAGCCATGCGACAGATGGCAGCAGAGGGCCAGAATGACAGCACAGCACCTGGCACACAGAGCACAGGGGCGTCACTGAGCTCCTCCACACTGAAAAATCCATCAATGCCTGCAGAACATTTATGAAGCCCCACACGTGGATGTGAGCACAGTGAGGCTCCAGCAGTGGCAACAGCAGTGCAAAAGACAAGCCACCCAAACAGCCAGATTCGATTTTTTTTTTTGCTTTTTGAACAAGCACAGCATGCAGGCTCTTGTTCAACGCTGGAAAAAAGCAGAGCTAATGGTGGTGACCATGTTGAAAAACAGAGTTCTGTAGCTGAGAATTCACTCCATGTATCCGTTGTCATTTCTGTGGAAATAAATAGGAGGCGTTTCTTTCAGAGCAATGCACCTCAATGAGCCACCATCCTAATAATGCAGTAATACTAATAATAGGAACAGAAAAACAGACTCTCAGAATATCTGTCGTGGGGATGGAACAACAAAACCAGCGCTGCAGTCAGCTGCAGTTATTCCATGGGAAGGAACTGACGCCAGCAGAAAAGTCACGACCACTTCCAGCACTCAAACCACAGCAGCATTTCAGAGCACGCAGCCTTGGAATAAACCCCAAGGATAAACCAAACTGCATCTCTGTTCCAGCCATTTCTTCTTCAATATACAGGCATAGACTGGGAGGCACTAATCCTGCACATTCATTGTACCACCGTGTCGTATGGTAAGAAGAAAAGCAGGATGTTTGAGACTTTGTCAGGCACAGAACCTGCAGCACTGGGGTGAGCAGTTCTAAATTCTGGTATCTGGTCATAATTTGCGTGCATGCAGCAGTGCAACTCACCTTAAGAGCGACCAAATGCATTCAAGGCATACCTACAAAAGACTCTGAGGTAGAAAGCTGCTCACTGAGGCGAAGATCAGCAATGAGGCAGGGGAAGCCTGACAGATTGAGAGTGATTAAGTGTCTGAATAAAGAAAGGAACAGAAGGAACAGACATTGCTGGAATCTATCAGACACCAATCTTCATTTGAAAAACATCCTGTACGTGTAGAACAAAAAGCAACACAGGATCAACTGTTATACTATTTATTTATTATTTATTCTAACTGTTTATCCCACTATCTCATTGATGATTGCTATTATACAAACTCTGTGTATTTTTAATACTGCTGTTTAAAAAAAAAACACAAATTCCTCCTTCAGTGTGTAATCAAATTCAAATTCATTTGAGTTTAGGTAGGAAAAAAGACTTCTGGTCTCAGTAACACAGCTACAAAAGCACTGTACAGGATACTCACAGATACAGCATCAACCAAAGCTGGCTCTCTGTAACAGCACATTTCCTTTGTCTATTCCACTTCTGTTGATGCACATTACCACAGCTTTGATGACAGTAAGGTTTCCTGGGCCATCTGTCAGAGCTGCAGAGCTTCCACCTCCTTTAAGCGTCCGTCCAGGACGTGGAGGAAGATGGGGTACCACAAACCAGATAGGCTTACTCCTCAGCCAGCTCCTAATGCTCCAGCAACTGACAGGAACTGCAGGACCATGGGGTACCAGCACCCAGACCACCACCTTACTTAGCCAGCCCTCCACGATGCAGCAAATGGGAGCAGCTGTGGGAGGATGGGGTGCTGCCACCCTGAGAAGCAGATACATTATGCAGGCAGCCATGTTCAAGTACAAGAGAGGAGCCATGTTCGAATACAAGAGAGAAGCTGTGTTCAAGTACAAGAGACGAGCTGTAGGAGGATGGGGAGACATCAGTCAGACAAACCTTAGAAACCTTAGCCAGCTACCTGTGATCCAGCACATGGAAAGAGCTGTAGACGGATCGGGTGATGCTACCCAGGGAAACACAAATCTTAACCAGCCACCCGTGATCCAGCACACGGGAGGCGATGGAGGAAGACGTGTTCCCCGGAGAACCATCAACCTTCTCCAGCAAGTCGTGCTCCAGCCGCTGTGTGGCCTCCTGTGCTTACAAAGAGCTCCTCGGGTGGCAGCCGCGACGGAGGAGGACGCTCTGGTGCCTCCAGGATTGGAGCAGCAGGCAAGAAAGGTGCGGTGTCCTCGCAGAAAGAGAGCTCTGCGTTAAGCAGTGCAGACCCGGGTGATGGCCACCGAGATGAGCAGCAGAGACTTCTGTAAGTGATGACCCTGTCCCCTGGGAAGCGCTCGCAATGAGCTGCTGAAGTGCTTACCGGCTTCCTCTGGATAATGGAGAGGATGCGTTCCAGGGGATGGAAGCTGGGATGTGGGGGGGAACCATAGGAAGCACGGGGGTTTTGTCTCTCTTACAGACCTGATGTGATTTACTTGCAGATTGATGATACAGTAAAACGCTTTGTCAGACACCTGTGTGTCCAGCAGAGCAACTGCTGTGTCTTTCAAGGTGGTTGCAGCATTCTTCAGCTGTTCCCTCTGAGCAGCATCCTATGGAATTAATTGGCACGGCTCTGGCTATTTGAGTTTGACTTTGCTTTTTGCCATTTGGCTTCTGACTGTGTAATTTCTTCTTTTGCTGTCATGTTCTGTTTTCTAGTGAC